GCTGGTAAAGGTGACAGTTAGGCCCAGTTGGACAAATCCCTAGTGGCGCCAGGGGCTGTAGCTGGTAAAGGTGACAGTTAGGCCCAGTTGGACAAATCCCTAGTGGCGCCAGGTGCTGTAGCTGGTAAAGGTGACAGTTAGACCCAATTGGACAAATCCCTAGTGGCGCCAGGTGCTGTAGCTGGTAAAGGTGACAGTTAGGCCCAGTTGGACAAAACTCTAGTGGCGCCAGGTGCTGTAGCTGGTAAAGGTGACAGTTAGGCCCAGTTGGACAAAACTCTAGTGGCGCCAGGTGCTGTAGCTGGTAAAGGTGACAGTTAGGCCCAGTTGGACAAAACTCTAGTGGCGCCAGGTGCTGTAGCTCGTGGTTGGTCTCCCACATTATCAACATTGTTGACGTTTGTTGCTTGTAATCTGACTACAAAATAAAATATCAGTGGCCATGTAGTGTAAGCTAGCTTCATGTCTTAACTTAACACGTAAAATTTAAACATTGCTTGATAATATAGGAGTTGCATTACGAAACACATTAAGTATCCAGCAGTTAAGAATCGCTAGTGGTCACATACGTGGAGAAACTGTGCGAGGTGCAGGTCACCTACTTATTATACACATGGAAAACCTGTGCGCGGTAATATGTAGGTATTTATTATACTTATTATACAGATGGAAAACCTGTGCGCGGTAATATGTAGGTATTTATTCAATCATATAACTTTAATTTCTGCCTCAGAGTTAAATCTATTTGCTTTGGAATTGAGTTTTTCAATCTGATAGGCTCATTACGCGATACATGGGCTAAAAAACTAGGTTAGAAAGTACATGTGGTTTGGGTATAGCTGCACCTGTTTTTGAGTTACTCACAAATAGGTGGGCATCCATCTACAGCACCTGGCGGCACTAGGGTTTTGTCCTACTTTTTGAACCGAATAATTGGTCTAACTGTCACCTTTACCAGCTACAGCACCTGGCGTCACTAGGGATTTATCCAATTGGGTCTAACTGTCACCTTTACCGGATACAGCACCTGGCGCCACTAGGGATTTGTCCAATTGGGTCTAACTGTCACTTTTATCATTTCTCGACATTGTCCCCGTTATGTCAGACTACAGCCAAAAAACGTCAATAATGTTGATAATGTGGGAGCTAGTCATCAATTCTCAACATTGTCCCCGCTAAATCAGACAACATAGAACCAAACGTAC